GAGGGGTTTGGGGGGGCCCCAGGGGGGGAATTTGGGGGGGGCGAGGGGTCTCCAGGGCTGGAGTGGCGCTGGGAGAACCCCAAAGTCTCTTCTCAGGGGGTCCCCAGCATTGGAGGCATCTCAAGGACTTCCAGGAGCACCCCAAAATTTCGTTCCATGGTTTTTGGGACCTTGCAGTGACTGGAGGCATCTCAAGGACTTCTGGGAGCACCCCAAAATTTTGTTCCCATGGTTTTTGGGACCTTCTGGTTGACTGGAGGCACCTCAAGGACTTCCGGGAGCACCCCAAATTTTCATCCCACAGTTTTTGGGACCTTGCAGTGACTGGAGGCATCTCAAAGCCTTCTGGGAGCACCCCAAAATTTCATTCCCGTGGTTTTTGGGACCTTGGAGGGACTGAAGGCACCTCAAGGACTTCCGGGAGCACCCCAAAATTTCGTTCCCGTGGTTTTTGGGACCTTGCAGTTGACTGGAGGCACCTCAAGGACTTCTGGGATCACCCTGACATCTTCTTCCCATGACTCTTGGTTGACTGGAGGAATCTCCAGGACCTGTCCATGATTTTTGGGTCTTCCCAGTTGACTGGAGGCATCTCTACGGCTTCAAGGAGCACCTCAGTGTCTTCTTCCCATGAGTCTTGGTTGAGATCCAGGACTTTTCCTTGAGTACCATGATTCCTGGTTGACCATGACCCTTGGTTGGCCACCATGATCCTTGGTTGGCCACCATGATTTTTGGTTGACCACCATGATTCTTGGTTGACCACCATGATTCTTGGTTGGCCACCATGACCCTTGGTTGGCCTCCACGACTCTTGGTTGGCCTCCACGACTCTTGGTTGACCACCATGGTTCTTGGTTGGCCACCACGATCCTTGGCTGACCTGCCGGAGTCTTGGTTGACCACCATGATTCCTGGTTGACCACCACAACTCTTGGTTGACTGCCATGATCCTTGGTTGGCCACCATGACTCTTGGTTGACCACCATGACTCTTGGTTGACCACCAGGATCCTTGGCTGACCTGCCGGAGTCTTGGCTGACCACCATGATTCCTGGTTGACCACCACAACTCTTGGTTACTGCCATGATCCTTGGTTGGCCACCACAACTCTTGGTTGACCACCATGATTCCTGGTTGACCACCACAACTTTTGGTTGATGACCAGGATCCTTGGCTGACCTGCCGGAGTCTTGGTTGACCACCATGATTCCTGGTTGACCACCGCGACTCTTGGTTGATCACCACGATTCTTAGTTGACCTCCATGACTCTTGGTTGACTGCCATGATTCTTGGTTGACCCCTATGGCTCTTGGTTGACCGCCATGAGTCTTGGTTGACCACACAACCCTGTGTTCACCACCACAACTCCTGGTTGACCATCACAACTCTTGGTTGACTGCCATGATTCTTGGTTGACCCCTATGGCTCCTGATTGACCACCAAAACTCTTGGTTGACCTCCATGACTCTTGGTTGACTTCCAGCACTCTTGGTTGGCCACCACAACTCTTGGTTGACCTCCATGACTCTTGACTGACCCCTTATGGCTCTTGATTGACCACCATGATTCTCAGTTGACCACCATGATCCTTGGTTGACCCCTATGGCTCTTAGTCGACCACCATGATTCTCGGTTGACCACCACAACCCTTGGTTGACCTCCATGACTCTTGATTGACCCCTTATGGCTCTTGATTGACCCCCATGGTTCCCGGTCGACCACCACCTCTCTTGGTTGACCACAACACCTCCACAACCTTCTCCAAACCACCCCGCCAACTCCCAGTCGCCTCCAACCACCTCCAGAACCTCTCCATCCTCCCACACCTCCATCCCAGCACCCCCGGGGACCCCCCGGAGCCCCTCCCCGGCTCAGTTGAGGAAGCGCCGGCAGCGCCGGGCGCCGCAGTTGCAGGGCAGCTTGGCCGCCGGCTCCTCGATGGGGAACTTGTAGTCGTAGGTGAGCTCCTCGCCGCGCAGGATGCGGCGCAGCGCGAAGATGACGATGCGCTTGTGGCCCTCCACGTGGATGACGCGCGAGTAGCAGTTGGGCTCGCACGAGTGGTTGATGAAGCGCGCGGCGCTGCCGTGCATGGTGGCGTCCACCACCTCGGAGTCGTCGATGCGGAACATGTAGCAGCCGATGCCCTGCGGGGACAGCCGGGGGATCAGCGGGGCGGGGGCGTGGTCAAGGGTTGGGGGCGTGGTCAAGGGTTGGGGACATCATCAAGGGTTGGGGCGTGGTCAAGGGTTGGGGACATCATCAAGGGTTGGGGCGTGGTCAAGGGTTGGGGACATCATCAACGGTTGGGGCGTGGTCTAGGGTTGGGGACATCATCAAGGGTTGGGGCGTGGTCAAGGGGGCACAGGAAAGGGATGGGATCACAGGGAAGGGGTGGGATGGGGTCAAGGGTTGGGGACATCCTCAAGGCTTGGGGACATTCAAGGCTTGGGGACATTCAAGGCTTGGGGACATTCAAGGACTGGGGACATGGTCAAGGGTTGGGGACATCATCAGGGGTTGATCTCCCCTAATTGTCCTGCCCCTTTCCCCTCACATTTCCCTTCATTTTTCCCCTCAAATTTCCCACTTTTACCATCAATTTTCCTGCCTTTTTCCTTTGCATTTCCTGCCCTTTTCCCCTTCATATTTCCCCTCACATTTCCCGTTTTTTCCCCCCTTCACATTTCCCACCCTTTCCTCTCACATTTCCCTCCATTTCCCCCTCACGTTTCCCTCCATTTTCCCTTCATGTTTCCCTTCATTTCCCCTCAGAATTTCCTCCATTTTCCCCTCACGTTTCCCTCCATTTTCCCCTCACGTTTCCCTCCATTTCCCCCTCACTTTTCCCTCCATTTCCCCCTCATTTTCCCACCATTTTCCCCCCGTGTCTCCCATCACGGCATTCACTCAAGATTTGGGGTCATCCCCCCATTTTTTGGGTTTGCCCTCCCATATTTTTCACTTTTCCCTCCCAATTTTTTTGTTTCCTCCCCATTTTCCACAGCACCCCAGATTTTTCCAGCTTTCCCCCCAATTTTTCCTCTCTCCCTCCAATTTTTGGGTGCTTAATGTTGAATATTTCATCATTTCAGGTAAATCTTTACCTTTTGTTAAATATTGGTGCCAAAGAAGCAAAGTGTGACATTTCAGTACAGTCCAGTTTTATGTTTGAACACATTTGTGAAGAACCTCTGCAGGAATAGGGACAGAAGCAACTGCAAATAAAGAAAAAGTGAACAAAAAAAAAAAAAAAAGACCAAAACAAACCCAAAAACATAGGAAAAAAAAAGAGAAAAGGAATCAGTGTTTGTGGATTTAACTTGGAATTAAAGTGTGGGGTATGGGAAGGGGATGCTGGGGAAGGGATGGGGGTACAGGGTGGGAATGGGGTTTTGAGGAAAGGGGCACAGGAAAGGGATGGGATCACAGGGAAGGGGTGGGATGGGGTCAAGGGTTGGGGACATCCTCAAGGCTTGGGGACATTCAAGGCTTGGGGACATTCAAGGCTTGGGGACATTCAAGGACTGGGGACATGGTCAAGGGTTGGGGACATCATCAGGGGTTGATCTCCCCTAATTGTCCTGCCCCTTTCCCCTCACATTTCCCTTCATTTTTCCCCTCAAATTTCCCACTTTTACCATCAATTTTCCTGCCTTTTTCCTTTGCATTTCCTGCCCTTTTCCCCTTCATATTTCCCCTCACATTTCCCGTTTTTTCCCCCCTTCACATTTCCCACCCTTTCCTCTCACATTTCCCTCCATTTCCCCCTCACGTTTCCCTCCATTTTTCCCTCCCATTTCCCTCCATTTTTCCCTCCCATTTCCCTCCATTCCCCCTCACATTTCCTGCCTTTTTCCCCTCAAATTTCCATCCTTTTCCCTTCACATTTCCCACCATTTTCCCCTCACATTTCCCATCCCCTCACGTTTCCCTCCATTTTCCCCTCACGTTTCCCTCCATTTTCCCCTCACATTTCCCTCCATTTTCCCCTCACAATTCCCTCCATTTTCCCCTCACAATTCCCTCCATTTTCCCCTCACGTTTCCCACATTTTCCCCTCACGTTCCCCTCCATTTTCCCCTCACATTTCCCTCCATTTTTCCCTCACATTTCCCTCCATTTTCCCCTCACGTTTCCCTCCATTTCCCCTCACGTTTCCCTCCATTTCCCCTCACATTTCCCCCCATTTTCCCCTCACATTTCCCTCCATTTTCCCCTCACGTTTCCCTCCATTTTCCCCTCACGTTTTCCTCCATTTTCCCCTCACGTTTCCCTCCATTTTTCCCTCACATTTCCCTCCATTTTCCCCTCACGTTTCCCTCCATTTCCCCCTCAATTTTCCCACCTTTCCCCCTCATTTTCCCACCCTTTTCCCCCCGTGTCTCCCATCACAGCATTCACTCAAGATTTGGGGTCATCCCCCCAATTTTTGGGTTTGCCCTCCCATATTTTTCACTTTTCCCTCCCAATTTTTTTGCTTCCTCCCCATTTTCCACAGCACCCCAGATTTTTCCAGCTTTCCCCCAATTTTTCCTCTCTCCCTCCAATTTTTGGGGTCTCCCCCCTCATTTTCTTCGGATTTCACCCCATTTTTGGGCTTCCCCCTTTCTTTGATCTTTTCTCCCAATTTTTGGGGCATCCTCTCAATTTTTTTAGGTATCCCCCCAATTTTTTGACTTTTCCTCACACTTTTTAAACTTTCCCTCCCAATTTTTGGCCTTTTCCCCCTAATTTTTGGGTTTTCCCCCCAATTTTTGGCATTTCCCCCCAGTTTTTGGGTTGCCCCTTGAATTTTTCAATTTTTCCCCATTTCTTCCCCCAATTTTCCGCATTTTCCCCATTTCCAAACTTCCTCCTCCTTTTTTTTTGGTGTTCCCCCCATTTTTTGAGGCGTTCTCCTCATTTTTTGAGGTGTTTTTGCCTTTTTTTGGGGTTTTTCCCCCCAAAATTTGTGGGTGCCCACCTTGCTGTCGTAGAACTTCTCCCGCTTGTCGGTGAGCACGGAGCGCACAACGATTCCGGAATATTCTATCACCATCTCCCCGGCCTCGATGTTCCTCTTGCAGAACAAGCCCCTCCCGTGGATGGCCGAGCTGGGTTTGAGGAGTCAGGGTCACCCCCAAATCTGGGGAACCCCAAAAATCCCAAAATCCCCCCAAAAATCCACCCAGGAATGTAAAAAACCCAACAAAAATCCACCCAGGGAACCCAAATTTCACCCAAAAAAATCAACAAAGGACATGAAAATCCCCCCCAAAATTCTGCCCTCCTGTGGATGGTTGAGCTCAGGGGGGCTCAGGGTCACCCCCAAATTTGGGGAACCCCAAAAAATCCCAAAATCCCCCCAAAAACCCACCCAGGAATGCCGAAAACCCCGCAAAAATCGACACAGGAACCCCAAATTTCACCCCAAAACCACTAAACCCCCAAATATTCGGCTCAAAATCCACCCCAGGTGTGCCCAGGTGCCCCCAGGTGTCCCCAGATCTCTCTCAGGTGCCCTCAGGTGTGCCCAGAAATGCCCAAATCTCTCTCAGGTGCCCCCAGGTGTGCCCAGGTGCCTGCAGGTGCCCCCAGGTGCCCTCCAGGTGTGCCCAGGTGCCCCCAGGTGTATCTGAGATGCCCCCAGGTGTCCCCAAATCTCTCTCAGGTGCCCCCAGGTGTATCTGAGATGCCCCCAGGTGTGTGCCCAGGTGCCCCCAGGTGTGCCCAGGTGCCCTCAGGTGTGCCCAGGTATGCCCAAATCTCTCTCAGGTGCCCCCAGGTGTGCCCAGGTGCCCCCAGG